ATATGTCTACATTTTCATTAAATTATCTGCTGAATAATATTGATAGAAGAAACAGGGGGTTCTTATTTGAAAAACAGAAACTTTGCATCTCCACAAGGCATCTAGTACCAACTGCTAAAATGTATGCAAAAATTGAGAGCCACTCGGATACATGTTAACGCTTAAATGCATACACCATTGTTTGTAAAGTTATCTAAACAAACAATAAGAGTTGGGAGTGGAATGACAAAAAATTGTCCTTGATTGTACAATTAAAAAAAAAAAAAAGTACCTATCTAGTACAAGAAATCTCAGGAATTAAAAAAGATGATCTTAGAGGATAGATACCTATTTAAAATGTTTAGAAATAAGATTTTGAATAACTGCATGATTAATGTTGGAAATGGGGTAAGCTTGCTTGGTAAATCGCCCTGTATGCATACGCAGCACTATATCGCGTATTATACTGTAGCAGACCCGGTGGCGACCGATTGTACCTAAGACGTAAAAATAAAATTTCTTCTCTCTGTCGGACCGCGTCTATTATATTTTACCTATGGTCGGCGAATATTATTCGTAGGTACCTTTATCATAATATTATACTCGTCGCGGAGATACAAAACCCGATACTATGTATATGTTACCGGAAAAGATGACATTCAGTCAGTGTTGACAATGACTAGTCCATAACGATAAGGCCTGATTTAGTAAGGAATTAACGTCAATAACTAGTAATTTATGACAATTCCTAATGAAAGAAGGCATTGATGATAACATTAAAAATTAAGTTGAAAATCGAATAATATATTATAAATTATAATACTTTTTAGCTATTTATTATAAATCATAAGCTTAATCTTTATTGTTACACGGTAAACTGCTTTGACACTTAGAATTACATAATCTAGTAGATGCACGATAAGCACATCTATTGGTCTTACACTGTCATTTTTTACATAATAACGCACACACTCTGACGCATTGGTTATAGTTTTAATAAGACGATCTTTACCGTTGATAATAAGAATATCGTACTTACGAACATCCCTATAGTCTTTCGTACACTTTTTTACTCCATCCGTAGATAGTGTAATTTTAGATTTTTTTATTTCTTCGATTCGTTCACAATATTCTTCATTATTAAAAAAAAAGTTGCTGTCGTTACGTTTCGATTCAATTAATAATAGAATTGCGTTATCAAATTGTATGCGCATTTCATTTAAATCCATTTTTAAGGAGATTGTTGAAAAAAAAAACAATGTTATTACTTATTAGTTATTACACGTTACTATTCACTACTTCAATGCACTATGCACAAACAATACTGTACAGTGTACAGTCACTTTCGGGATGTGACCATAACGATACCAGCTAGGTACGATAGTTCTGTATAATCAATTTTATTATAAGTTATAAGCAATAAAAACGATGACATAAAACAGGATTTACCATATTATATACTATAATAACTAATAAGTAATAGATAATATAGATAGCTATGTTTCATAATCAGATCGATCACCGCATAAAGCGCGGTGTCGATATTTTTTTCGATTCGGATTTAAAACATTGTCTAATATAATACGGAAATGTTGATAAAACTACGAAACATCCAACATTGCCTAACCTTTCCAGCCATTGTCAACAATGACTAGGATATACCGATAATTCCTGAATTTTCATCTATTCCGGTAACATATACACACACACACGCACACACACACACATACCCGTATATTATTATTATATATTACATATATAGCTACAGGTATACCTATACCCATACCTATATAAAATGTGCGAGCGATCGGATCGAAAGTGTGCCATTCACCTACTTCCCGCGGGAGACTGGTTTTCGCCGGTGGCCGATCGACCCGTTGGTATTTTACGCGCTCGAGACCGTACGACGATATCCGTCATACGTCCGTACTTGCCATGTGTGTGTGCGTGTGTGTGTGTGTGTGTTTGTAAGTATATTCGAATCAACGTCCGCATTTTTAGAGATAGACCGCCGCCGCCTGTGATTTACTACGCACACACACACACACACAAGCTTTACGCACTTAGTGTGTCCGGCCGGCGGCGGCAACGCACACGATTATCGTCCACGTTATTATATTATACGCACACTGCACACGGAGCCAATTAACGACGTCCAGCCGCGCAACAATAATAATAATAATTAAATCGTTTTTTTTCAGGATTTTTTTTTTTATTTTTATATTATTATGACTTTAATATGATATGCTTTTGTTCTGTTTAGTTTTTCCATGGACAATTTTCCCTGTAAAGTGTATAGTTGTTAAACGTAATCGACCACGTGCTCACGACGCAAATTGTGTTATGACTTATTACTTATTAGTTATTACTTATTACAATATAAATTATAAATACAATATGTCGGAATGACACGTGGTAATGATTAAAATATTTGTTTCCATATGGAATCTAACTTTGGGGATCAGCGCCAACCCTTCAAATTTAAACGGAATCGAAAAATGTCAAAATGTCAGTCCAAATTCACCTCATTCGAATAAGTAATGGGTAACTAAAGCACTTGTCTGTGTTTCTAATGATACCTTTATTATACACACTTTCCATAATGATCTCCTTATACCAACAGCCCAAGACGTCCCCAGATTACCAGAACCTTCTACGAACACGTCTACTCGAACTTCTCCAACCACCACAATATGTCCAGATGACTCAGTATATATTTAAAACAAAAATTGTGTTTTGACCTTTTAAGTGATTAAAGGCCATGAAATGAAGTTCTTCTTCGGGACTTCTGACTACTACTGAATATAGAATCACTTGCACTTATTATTGTAAAATAATTTACACATTGTGTAATGTATATATTAAACAAAAACAAAAATAATTCGTTTGACATGATAATAAATATATATAATGAAATCACATTTTATAATAAAAACGCAGTTTAAAATAAATTAATAAATTAATAAATAAATTAACTAATAATAAATAAATAAATAAATAATTAATTAAGTATACATACATAATATATATAATATATAACTTATACCGATATATATATACATAAATATATATATATATATATATATATATATATATATATATATATATAGGTACAATGTACACGCATATACCATAGTCAACAACTAATGTGCATGTGCTAATTTTGTTTCTATCGGTAGGTATAATAGTAAAAAATAATAATATTATATCTTAGATCCAGATTATCGCAGGGAGAATGATAAATATCAATATTTGAATTGCAATATATTTGGTTTTTTGGAATATTTTTTTTGTGTGATTTATATAAGTCGTAAAAAGCAAACGCACAAAAGTTGTTGGAAATGCCTCGTTAGAAACTAATTAGGCATTAGTATGTATACAATAATAATAACGACTAATTATTCAACTATATCAAAAAAAGTACAACGTAATAATAGTAATAATAATATTTAAGTAATAACTTACTATATAATACTACTACAATAATTAATAATATTATTTCGTGTATATATATATATGTATAGACGATATATACCGAAAATAAATAACATAATATATATGGCTCGTTTTTTTAAGTCGATAAATTCTAATGTTATTCGATACAAGTGCGCGTTATATATTTTTTAAGACATAATATTTTGTTACTTTAAAATAGATATTACACCGTGGATACAACATAGTAAACGTAAACTGTACAGTGCGGGGAGGGGAGGACGCAGACACCAGTCGCGATAGTGAGTGTCATTATTTCCTCTCTCAAACTCTCAAACTCTCTCACTATATCTATAATATTTTTAAACATATGTAAAAGCGTGAAAAACGGTTTACAAATTACAATATAATATTATATTGGTTGTCTACGTATGTATATTTTATTTCGAACGTGTTTACTTGTTTAATTAGTCTAAAGCGATGAGCGTTTGGGCTATATCCAGACGTAACAGACTTATAAACCTATACAATTAATATAGTAATAAAAAATAATATAAGATTTTGCGGGCGGTGGGTATACCAATTATATACCTATACGTCGTTATAAATTTGCGGTCGTTGTATAGTGATAAAGGTGTATGGGGGGAGGGGGTTAAACAAATAAAAAAATCATCTAAACAGTCGGAATCGGATGAAACTTATGAGTAACCAAGTATCTATAACGTTTAAAATCCAAAAAATAATACCTCTCGTTGGATCTTGACGATGACGTGTTTTTTGGCTTTCATTCATTGAATCACGCGGGACATCCTAGAAAAAAAAGCGTGCGAACGGGATGGATATTTTTTGAGGTCGGTGTTTTATTTTTCTGCGTGTGGCGACGACGCTCTCGAATTACTGAATACTATATAAAATTATAAAGTAGGTATAGTGTTATAGAGTCGATGGGTCGGCGCGAATGATAAGTCGTAATAATTCTATGATAATGGAACAAGACAGCGAAAACGGACGACGACACGACGTGGTGACTCGTAAGTCGATACGTTCCCCCGGGTGTGAGTTACGATATTGGACAAAGAATGGAAAGGAAAGGATAAAGAAAAAAAAACTAATGCGCGTACGTACCGATTATTATATATTATATTATACGATATTACGATAAGTATATTGAATCCTACGATGTGATACGACCACAATAACGACGATGAATAGCGTCAGACAGGAAGCCGGAAAAATCGAAACGAGAGACGACGATCGTCATAAAGCGATGAAGTGATTGAGGCGCGGAGCGGTTCACGAAAGATGTTTTTTTCTGGGGGATGTTTAACCGTTATTAACATGTTTTTACGTCCCTTTTGTCCGACAAAAAAGTTTATATATACCTACCTAATGTTATTTGGGGGTAGCTTTGGCTTACTATATATCTACGTCTACTAAGTATTACCTATATAATTATAATTATGGCGTTTCGTTTGTGCGACGGTCGTGGCTTTTTTTTGTGATTTTGGTTTTTTTATTTGCGTTTCGGCTCTCACCCACCGGTCACCCACTTGACTGCGGGAGTGAGCCGGAAACGTCGTCGTCGACGATCACGACGTATACGCCTGATGCATAACAGCTGACTTGTGCGCCGTCTGCGGCTGAAGTTTGGGATTGGTGCACGCCACCTGCGCGTTTTTCCGGCGCTGTGGCATGGACCTGATGCGCAGACACAGGTACGCGGACACAAGACATGAAACCAGCAGGATGCCGAGCAGGACAACCAACGTTGCGGAGAAACCGACAGTGGTCATGCAGATCATTGACGAACCTGGTTCAACGGTCCTGGTGGGGAAAACCATAGTGTTGGTGGCCGAGCCGTTTGTCGAGTCATCTAGCGCGAACGTTAGGTCGCCTGTAGACACCACCTTAATGACACGGTTGACGCCCACGTCTTCCTGTTCATCGGAGGTAGCAGTGCTGGTGCTGGAGGTAGTGCTGGTGGCGGCTGACCGACGGTGAAGTCTTGGGCGGACGCGCCTCTCATCTCTGGGATGGGCTGAACCGATGCGTGCATATACGTCCAGGGGCGCGGGCGGCGGACCGTACTCAGCAGGACCCTGCACCGCCGGGTGGTGGGCGGATAGCAGGTTACCATGCTGTGCGCTGAGTATGGCATTGGAGTCCGAACACTGGTCCGGGCACTGGTACCGGCATATCTGTATGGTACACTGGAAGTGAACTTCCATCGAGTCCGGGAACTTGAATGCCTGGAAGTGAGCATATGACAGAACGGACGCGCTTGCACCGAAGTTCTTGATCTTGGTAAACCGGGACATGAGTTTGCCGCGGGTCACGCAACCCTTCTGGTCCACCAGCTGGATGGGTGCCCGTTTTCCATCGTGAGCCATGCAATTGCGCACGAGCATGTCGAACTTGGAGTCGTCGTCCTTGATGGCCAGCACCATGGTCATGGTCTGTCCGATCTTCACCAGCCCAGAGACTTCAGAAGCCCACGGTCCCTTGCCGACCTTGTTGGAACAGAAAGAGAAAAATAAATAGAGAAAAACGAATCGAATGTCATTATATGTATTAATAATAATAACTCGTTATTATGCGCATAATGGACAGATTATGGGTCCAGAATGTCTGGGTGTCCAGAGTTTCAAGAATTCAATTTATGAATGAGCTTCGACCTAGGTATTGACTTAAAAAGTATTTTAAATGGATGTCGAGCCCGGACTTGTCGTCACCTCAGTCTTATAAGCGAGTAACACCAAAAAACTACGAATTTCACGTTTAGCTTCATTTTTCACCTTGTATAATACCTTGATATTATACAGTGAATTTATGTATTATAAAACCAAAAAGGTAACAATATTGCTTGTCGGATGCAATGTTTTCAGTATTTTTATTTTGAAATTGGTTTTGAGGGTGTGTAAAATATTAAAATTTTAAAACCCCATAACTGACTTAAAAATTATGATTTCGTTATAAAGAAATTTCTAAAAATATTGTTACCATAAGCCATACGGCATGCCTATATGGTTTGATATAAAAGCTGATCACTTTGATAGGTGTATAACCTTCGATGCTATTCGTGAACTTCTGAACGTTAATTTGCAATGTTACAACTTACACACTGTACTTGACGTCTTCAAAACAACATGTTGTTACACATAGCACTTAACAGCTTAACGGCTACACTCGTATTTATTGTAACCGACTAACCGTATGTTAGTTTAAAATTGAAACATTAAAAGAACAGCAATTTGACCTATTATTGAACGTTATCTGCGATGCTATTTCGTCCGTTTTCTATAGCATTTCAGCTATAATGCTAGTTGTACGAAGTAAAACAGTATAGTTTAATAACGAAAAATAGATCATTGAAAAAGATAGTAGGTAGTCAAAATCTCAGTTGAAACGTAGTAGGTATCTATAGATACGACCCGTATATAATAATATATTATAACGTATCTGGTGTAAATGCGAAACTCATGTGGTATATATTATTATTATCATGCGTTTTCGAATGCGTATACCTACTCACGATATCGATGGTTAAATTATAACTGTAAACGGCATATAATATTGGCTACACGATGTATAATTATATTGCGCAAAATTGAAAATTTATATTTATGCTACAGTATATTATAATTGATATGTAGATTGTTGGTACCTACGTTTAAAATTTGCATAATAAAACGGGTATTTGATGTTAGAAAATCGAGTGAAGGAGATAAAAATTATCAGCCGATTTAAACACAAATGCGATCGAATTATATTCGTACCTACATCGTCGTATTATACTAATCAATAATCATATGCCTGCCGTTTGCTATTATTCACATACTATGTTCGACGTTCATATAATCGACTTGCGTGTGCAAAATTAATTAGAATTCATTGAGTTGAACCACTAAAGTTATATAACCAGCAGTAATATCGCATAATCGCAAATTTAGTTTTGGCGACATTAAAAAAAACCCCCCATTTCGTATAGTGCTATTACGGGTATATGTGTGTGTAGCTCATGTATAAACTCGTATATTATTATAAATAATTTGCAAGATAAAATATCTGCAGTGGCGTCGCGGGGAGGGAGAGGTGGTCATTTTGTTTTTAGCGATTTCTCTAAGGCCGAAACGGGTGAGTGAGTGAAGGTACTACACGAGGACCTAAATATTACCCGGCGATATCCGGGAAAAAAAACCGATTGTTCAACTCCTTTTGACACGCTGTGGAAGCAATGACTTTTTAAATGTAAATGATATTGTATTTTAATGTATAGCCATCCCGACCGGGGTTGTCCGTGAGATTCGCTCGTGGCGAGCAGTTTATTATCAGGTTTGCAATCTACCTGCGGTCGATCGCGGACCCCGTGTGGTTTGTACGACGTACGTAAGTGTATAATTTAACTCTGAAGTATCAAAGTTATACCTAGCTTGTCGTTTTTACTTAATTCGACCTACGGCAGATTAATACAAACAACTAATACAAAATCCTAACATGATCCAACCGTACGAAAACCCGATGAATAAAAAAAAACAAACACCCGTATGTCTAGTTAAAGAAGAAAATAAACAAACAATGTATAAAAACAATGCAAAAATTGGTCCAACAAAAACGTGGCTCGAACTTGAGACATTCTGTACTAAAATAGAAGTGTCACTGCGTAAACAAGCTTATCGCTTTAATAATAATTATTATTATTAAAACCAATAGCAACCATTTACAAACAATACCAAATTTTATCGCAATCGGTCCAGCCGTTTAGGAATGTATAAAGGACAAACAGACAGATAGACAGACATTTATTTTTATATATATAGATAATATTATGTTCTTTAGAGGTACTCAAAAATTATGATTAATAGTCATGAATTATACAAGTGATTTTTTTATTGTGTACCACTCAATAAGACAATAATATCTTAGGAAATATAAAAAGAAATTTAAATAATTTTTTTTTTAAACATCCCTACAATTTTACAATGTTTATCTAATGATTATTAATCAGTATTTATTCTTGAATTTAAAAAAAAACATAATATTCTGCTTACATGTTCATGATAGAAAAATCGTCGATGGGAGATGGTCAAGGGGGAGGGGGGGCAAACGTTATATACTATTCGGCGTCGACTAATACTCGACAATTCGGGGTTGCCACTGCAGATTACACTTGCGGCTATCTTATTATATTACACTAAACCACGACCGTGGTTGCGGGCTAAAATGGTCGCATCGACATCTTATATACTATTATTTATCGATGGCGTAATAAATTACTTGTATCTGCATCCAACATCCGACGTTGTCACCGGCGAAGTCAGCTCTGACCACGTCCAGCATGTCGACCGGGAACGGCCTGAAGGTGACAGACTTCTCGTACTGGTCGTGCCACGTGCACCGGAGCTTCCTGGCTTGATCCCAGACTTCCTGCACCTGTGGGTCGTACTGGATGACGACGATGTTCTCGAAGTAAGTGCCGGATCCGGAGTCAGCCCCGTACCCATATAGGCCGTTCTCGGTGTTGCCGGAAGTACCACACGCGTGCACGCCAATCTCGAAGTTTACGGACGTCCGGCCTAGGCCGGCCGGCAAGTGTACGCAGTTGCCGTTGCTGTAGTGGCCCTTGCTGAACACTATCCCGTAGAACGGTTTGTCGAAGCTCAGAAACACCTTCATGGAGTTTTTCTCGCACTTGACGTCCAATGACACGATCTTGGGCATGTCAGCGGACGCGCTGCTCGGCCACGGATCGCCGAGCGCGTTGCCTACCGGTCCGGCCGAGTACACCTTGTCCATGGCCTCAGACTGTTGGGCAACTAATTGCTGTTGCTGTTGCTGTTGCTGTAAGGATGGTGGAGGCGGTGGTGGTCCATGGTAACCCACGTTGTGATGGTGATACTTGCCGGACTGCTGTTGAGATGGTGGTGGTTGAGCCTGCTGCTGAGGGGGTGGTGGGCCTCGATTCAGTGGCGGGTGGCCACGGATCGGTGCCGACTGCGGTTTCAGGTAGTTGTGTTTGGCTATGGAACCGGACGCGTCCTGGTCGTCCACGTCGTCACCGGTCTCCATGGCCAGCTGGTCGGGGTTGTGTGCCTCCATCGCGTCATCGCGCTTTTGTGCCGGCGACTGCAGCGGCCCGTGCTGCATCTGCAGTTGCTGTTGGTCTGACTGTTGCAGCAAATCGTCGATTGATTGCGACGTCCCGGAAACGGCTTCGACAACGTCCACTTCTTCCGTCATCTGTACGCAGTTCGCAAATATGGCGAAACAAGAAAAAGAAAAAAAACGAAACAGTGAGAACGATGAAAGGAAAGAAAAACAATTTCGAAAATCTCCTGGAATTTATTATTATAGCATCGATATAATATAATAATATATAATACATAATATCCCAAAATGATACCACTTTAACATAGACTAAGCAGCGTTCACTTAGTTTTGTCAGTTATAATTTTATTTTGTCGTAACCTGACGAGAGCCGTTCAAAGTGATATCATCAGATCTGATATAAATTTGTAACAGCTCTATGTCACGTCCACAATTAATGTATAATTAATATATAAGTACCATTTGTTTTCATAATTTGGGGCACCACTGTTTTTAAACCAAAAGTAACAGAAATATAGTGTCCCACACTATAATATGCAATATGCATAGATAAATAAATACATGTACCTAATATATGTGGAGTGTTGCATAGGTTAGGTTAAAATTATTATATTATAATATTATAATTAAATTTTTATAATATAATTATTGCATTATATTATATTTTAACTGCGTATGCATTGATGAGATTTACATAAAATCTTCGTGACTATATAGCGATTGATTAAAGAAGTATAAAACAATAATTAGTGCAAATATGACGTATGCTCAACGAAACATATTATGTTTAAGCATCTCTAAAAATTAGTTCCATCGATTCAAATTATATAAATTAATAAAATAGCTTTAGAGCCAATATACTATAGTCAAACCGGATAAATAATATTTTTGGGGTGTAACTATTAGTTTCGGTTTTATCATGTTGCGCCGGGCCAATGTTAATAGTTAATGGTTACCTATAAATACTTGAACGTACTTACAGGAACATTATTCGAGGATCTTTTCCGGGACGGACTGAGGAAATTTCAAATTGCCCGCGATACGTGTTATTGTATATTATGGCCATATAGGTACTTATTAGCCACGGCGGTATAAAATATATAATATATAGATCGCGGCGATCTACTTTCGAAAAACTCGAAAGTTGTAAAGGATTCATAACCAAGCGTACACACAGCATATTATATTGTTGTACATAGGTATTATTATTATATATAGTACACGCTCTACACACCGTGTCTGGCAAACGGAAAATCCACGAAAACGCCTGTTTAGGTCTCTCGATGTGTCGAACAATAATATCATATTTACATATATTTTACCCGTATACACAATATGCATTTACTAATAATAACTATATTATTATTATGACGTGTGCACGAGAAAATGTGTTTGTTGTTTGCGCGCGTAAACGATACGCGATATTATATGCTGCTTAACGGTACCACAAAGGTTACCTAACCATAACGAGTAGACAGCACTACAGCAAAGCAAATATAATATAATATATATCTAAGTATAATATAAGATCTATATTCCGCAGAGCGAGTACGTATATATATACGACCGTAATACGGTATAATTGTCCATAACGTTGTATCTATATATTATTATTTATACACCGCGTGTCCCGTATCAATTAAATAGACCAATGGTATTAATGACTGTGTCGTAAATGATACGAGTATATTTTTTTGTGTCGCCACTTGGACGACGACGTACCTATACCTATACACCAGCTGCAGTTATCACGGTAAATTGTTATTATTGTTTTTTTAAACGTTAGACTTAAAAAACGAATTACTTAGTGTTCGTCGTATATATATACCATGTAGGCACATATATAATATAAGTAATATTTTTGATTAGGGGTACTCACGCTGTACGCCAAAAAGCAAAACATCAGTGACAGTCTAAGGATCATTTTTCGTCCGTGCGGTCTTATTGAACGATCTGAAAACATAAATAGGTAGATATAATAATAATAATAATATACTATTATAATATAAAATATACATGCAAATAAATATATTATAAACAATAAGCGAATCAAAGTAGATATTATATGTCCGTATAATCCCAACAAAATCCCTACGAATAATTATCGCGGTGTCTGACGGGGGTGTGACACGGCCGAAGTAGAAAGTTAAATTGTGAAATCGATTCAAAAAAAAAAAAAAAAAATTGTCTCTCGAAAAGGCCACCGCGGCAGAATCGACGGAACGTGCGTGCGTGTGATATGGACCACAGTCTGGCGGTGCCTGATACAGGTCGGTTGACCGCTTTGAATTTAAAAAATAATAATAATAATAATAAATAAAATAACGATTTCCTTCCAGTCCCGGACCGTGTGCTGCCTACTTTTGTGCGGTAGAGCTGCAGTTCGCGTCTTCCGTACATAGATGGGTAAGAAAAAAAAACCGTCAGACAGATGATTCCGGTTTTCGCGCTCGTCTCCGCGTTCCGCGGCGGCACATCCTGTTCACCGGGAAACCTGGAGAGAAACACTAGTGACACACTCGGACATATATGTGTGTAAATCGTCCGTTTTTACCAGTACGTGATCGTTAACAATGCCGGTCACCGATATACTGCACACACACACACACACACACACAAATATACACAAGCGCGCGTGCGCATATTGTATACATACGGACTGCATCGTAGTAAGAAAAAGAAAAAAAAATATTGGTATATTATTTAATGACCATATAAGTTATAGAGCCTACGGATCGAAAAGAAAAATACGAAATGAACTTTCTCAAACGTCTCCGAGCCGGATAGCCTTTCAAAAACGTCGACCTCGCGGTGGTATACACAATCGTACATTATATTCGTACAATATTATTATGTATTGTATGTGAACGATTTCTGCGAGCTTTTCAAACCGCCGTGGTTATTATTGCGATCGCGAGAACTATTTAGATCATCGAGAGGGAACATATTATAATTATTATATTTAAATAGGAATAACGTGTTTCATAATTCGATAATAATTAAGAATGAATGCGCTGCTCAACTTCCGAAATCCGGTTTTATATGGTCACAGCGGTGTGCGACCCGTGAGTGGGTCAGTGTTCTTCTTAAAAAAATAAAAAATAAAAATAAAATAAATAAATAAAATGGGATAAAAGTCTTAGCAGTCTCTCCCGACTAGGTTACCGTGCTACTACGCATTATGTATGTCGAACATTTTTATGGTAATATATTATATTATACGTTTAGGTCAAGTACCCGAGAGAAAACGCCGGCAGCTGCAGTCGAGCCCGGACTGCCGATGCCCGCTCGCCCGCTCCCGGCGTCGATCAGTGAACGTGATTTTCAATAGCCGCGATCACGTTTTGTTTCTACGAAACCATTATAATATACGTACCTACCACCGCCGATTCTCTTTTCTTCGCCAATCGATCGGTTTGCGCATGATGACGATAATAATATGGTAAAAATTGGCGGATGTAAATTGTATATATACATGTATATAATACCTACATAGATGATTATATTCGGCGGCCCGGGTGCCAGGTGCTCCCCTGGGGGTTTTCTGGGTCAGATTTCTGATCGATTTATTACCCCATTTCCACGTGATTGACCCACAAAAACGGTGTGTATCAAAAACACAAAACCGTTTAACAGCAAAATCGTATCGCGATGTGACGAAAAAGTGTACACCGCAATGATGCGTGTATATGTATATATATAATAAACCAACAAAAACTATAATAATATTATTATGTATACGACCTAAATCGCGTCCGATGATGATAAGAACAAAATGGGTATACAAACGAAAAAATGGTTGTTCGCCCAAATGCATAACACGAAGTACATATTATAAGATGTATCGATGCCAACAGATATCGTTCGGTGCCGTTCTCATTGTAATGTATCATATTATTAAACCACGTACGATTCCGTTTATAGGTACAAACCGACAACATGGACGTTAGATTTATGTTACATTATAATATTATACAGACGCCATCTGCAGAATTGGCGTCCAATCGTCCAAACCTACTGACTATACTGCACATTATTGTGACAGCGCTGTCGCAGCAGCATTCATTGCTATTCGTTCACGCATATGATATTAGGTAGGTACACTCGGTTATCGCGGTCTGTCGACTGATCTGCCAAGACTGCCATCCTATATACTCGTACACGTCTAGGTATCGTGGTCTATGAAACGTCTATGACCATGGTATACTCGGGTGTACCCCGCCGGTATTCGGTATACTATGATCGAGGTAAACACGTTGCGGGTGTCCGCGGTAGGTATATTTGTCTATATTATACGATCATTCCCATCGGTAGGTACACTGCATTATTATATCGGCACGGTGCTGCGACTCAATCGTACACGAAACGAGACCATCGAACCCATTGTCGTCCGTCCCGAGTCTTACTACTCATGTTAATGATACTCACAATGTATAATAAATAATATATTATATATTATGCTCTCTGCCGATTTACGTGACCGTGCATACGTAATGCATAACCGCGCGGATTAGGCCGTTGCAATTGGTTTTTGTTCGACAAGCGCATTGTCTCCCGAGTTTAGCAGCTTTCTATTTTTGCTCGTCGCGTCCACGCAGCATCCCGCGACACGGACCCCCTACGAACCGTTGTCCTGCTATAAGTTCCGCGGCGGCTACGACATCGGACGTTTTATTTTCACTTTTAAACGCGACAAAAAGTATTAAAACATTGGTCCGAGAACAGATTATTAGAGTAATATAATATTATTACAGTGCTCGGAAAAACCGAGTTCAAAGGAACACGTTCGAATGATTTAGTTAAGTTTTTAGAAACTTAACCGAGGGAACGTAGTTCTTTTTAAGTGTCAAAGAATTTAGTTCATTTTTTAGAGGAACATAAACAATTTTTATTCGTTCTTTTTTTCGTTAATTTATTCTTAAGTAAAGGGAATTTAAATAATTTTTAGAGGAAAACTTTTTTCAACTTTTTTTTTTTTGTTTTGTCAATTTAATGAACTATACAAATATTTAAACCTATAACGACAATATACGATCTACGATTAACACTGTTTACTAAATGTCAAGTCGACTGAAGGTCTTAAATTGTATGAAATCAACAAATTAAACATTTTAAAAACAAAATAATTTCATAATTAAACAATGTATTACTAGAAATTATAATAAACCAATTTTAAATTACCGAGGATCTAAAAAATATTCTTTATTTAGAAGCTAGGAAAAAAACTAGTTCCTTTCTTTAAGACAGGAATGAGAAACGATTTAGTCCCTTCTTAACAACATGAACGTGAACGTGAACTAGTTCCTTTTTTAAAGGGACTTTCCAAGCACTGTTTTATTATCATTACAGATGTGTGCCTATACTATATTAGATCGTTGTAGTCGCGCGTAGGTACATCGTAATTAGTTGATTGTTATTGCTATTCACGCTCTGGCCCGGTTCCAGAAACGATATTTTATGATAATTATTGGACTTATTATCATAGTTTCGATATTTAATTATTGCCGTTCGAGTCGATGAACAGCAGTACATATATAATATTATATTATATTCCCTATATTATGGTATCTGTATGTATAATATATCAAACATATAAACACAAAATTACATAGTTATTAACTTTTAAATCGTGTCGGTGCGTCCATCGTCCATTATTCGTTCTACATACCTACTCCAAATCACTAAAAGTATATTATCATCTTGTAATTATATTATTTTATATCGTATAATACATTATAAGCAGTAAGCACTGTATTTATACCTATTAATCTAGACGTCTCGCAGCTTGGACGTCCGACAAGTATATAAAGTTAGTCAACTAAATGTATCTATGTATTATTTCAATCAATGTTCAATACCATTGGTTTGATACTAATTTATACACCTAGATTACGATCTTGTGATATTTGTCGAGTCACGCGTTTATCAATGAAAATTACGAAATATACGTGTTTCCAGGACTATGACGATTCGCTGCAATCGTTCAGTGATAAATAATAGTAATAATACCTATATTAATATTTTCTGTACAACTATACTACCGATATAAACTTGTTAGGTAAATCTAAAACTAACTGCAACCGACAACACTATAAACCACTAAAGATAAATTAATTATTTTGAATCGCGTCCAAATAAAAACAAATATATGCAAAATCGTTGTCATTTCAACCACCGTTACAAATATTTTTTATATAGTATTCGACCTATGTTGGTTTTCAAAAACATTTACAGTTTATTAACTGAGAACAGATTTAAAGATTTAGCGTTGCTTTAACTATATTATATTATGCGTTTTAGCTGTTCTCTAGTGTTGACCGTTTGTTAAATTTTGTATTCAAATAGTCAATAGAGGCAGTAAGTATAGACTAAAATTAATAAAATACTATCAGTACTATTGTTCTAAAAGTAATTTATAGATAATAATTGTTTTTTAATATTTTATAGTTTTAGAAATGGCATAACGCTTGTTTAATGTTCATTGATGTTCCACTCATATTACTATTATCAAATTGGACGAATACAAATATACAATATACAAACATATTCCATAACAATTAACAACTGCTAAGCTGACGTTTAAAAACGAATTGATTGGTATTACCCACGCATAAACAGGTTTTAACATCTGAAAAATAAGTAGGTACTAGCTTATTTATTGTAATCGTTTTTTTGATTGTTCAGATAGAGTTCATTCATACCGTCAGTTGCCCGGGGATCGGTTTGATTCAAAATTAATAGGTAGTGTCAAAACTATTAATAATATTTAAGTAAAATAAGATATATTTACAAATTATTTTTCGCTCTTAGCTGACCGCTGTTCGTAGTTCATGAGATGTTGTGTAAACATTCGTCAATATGTAGGTAGGTACTTACAAAAAAAAAAACTAGTATTTGCTAAATTTTAACGGCTTGAGTATAAGT